TACTGGCCACGTTCCTGCCTCGTCTCTTTGTCAGGTGACTCCTGCCCGCACTGCTCTTCTCCCGGCACCTGCTGGACTCGCTGCTTCCACATGTCTCCTTTGGCCGTCTAGGACACTCGTTTCATATGGCGGTCTTGCCCGCCCTGCTACACTGTCTCCTTCCTCACATAGCATTTGCCACCTTCTCACCTACTCCGAGATCTATTGTTCATGACGCTAATTAAGGTGAAGCTTCAGGGCCCCTTCTCTGTTTAGGTCCTTCCAAAACCTTGGGATGGCCCTAGCCCTCACATGGCAGTTCCCACATGTTCCTATAAAATGTGTACACGTAATTCATGTATGTAAGTATAGATGTGTGCATGTCCATCCATCCATATATATATATATATATATACACACACACACACACACAGACACACACACATACAGGTATATATATATTTTAAAGATTTTTTTCTTTCTTCCATGAGTAAGAGAGACACAGAGAAAGGGGGAGAGATGGAGACAGACAATATCCCCCCACAAGCTTCCAAAGCCACAGCCCACCCTCACATTTCAGCCAGCTGTGGGTCATTGGCCATACTCAGGGAGGTCTCTGGGCATGAACCTGGAACCTTCTCACATGGACCAGCCTGAGAGCACTGCATTGTACCACCGTACCACCATCTGCACCCTGCGAGCATAACACAGGTAACTGTAGTTGATTAAGACTCGCATTTCTTTCCACCCCATACCCCTCCATCCTGCGCTCCCTTGTACCAGGTGACGCTGAAGTGGCTGGAGGCATTTTCGAGGTCTGACTAAGGGGAAATGCAGCTGGGAATGCGTTTAATTTGAGCACGATGGGATATAATGTGTGGTTCACAGCCGCTTTTCTGTGTAATTCGGTTGGCCCTCGCTGCTTCGGTGTGGGAAGAGCATCCAGGAAAATGCTCTGCCCGCTGGAGTAGGGCGCGCTGCTCTCTGGGTGTGTGCGGCGGTGCTGGCACCAAGAGTGCAGGGCTGGTGCTGGGAAAGGAACAGAGCTTCCTGATGTGTAGGAAATTCTTCCGTATTTTACAAATACCTGACAGAGGCCTTCTCAAATTTGACATCGATCCTAAAAGTTTTTATTAAAAAAACTAATAAAGTGAAGCTGAGTGAAACTATCAATAATAAAAACAATTTTGATTAACCATGCACAAATTATCTTCCTGTTTTCCTTATAGAAAACATCATATAATTCCCATATGAAAAGGTGTTCAAAGACAATGCCCTAAAAATGTGTCTTGGATCATTAACTAATGAAATTATTTTGCAACTTTTCCTGAATTTGAAGTTTTGGCTATGTATGAGCTTTTTAGTTTGTCTGAGATTTTGTGATTTCTTTTCTCATTCTAAATATGTTCTCATTTTGAATGTTTTCTATCTAGTGTTGCATGTGTCATTTTGTATTCTTATTGTTTTTTTTTTTTAAGGTGTTTTTTTTTTTTTTTTGGA